TCACCTAGTGCTAATATGTTGGATGTAAATCTATTTATGCCTCTGTGCCGGCTACACCTGTGGTCTGAGACATTATGTTTTTGTATTGTCTATTACATTCTTGTGAATATGATATCTCTTCAAATTTGGCACAAACGTTTACTTGGACTCAACAAAGAACTGATTAAATTTTGGTGGTTAAAGATCAATATCCCTGTCATCTCACAAGAATTAAACACAAATGTCTATCAGGATAACAGAATGAACTGATGGCATTTTATACCCAAAAGGTCAAAGGTTAACTTCAGTGTGACATTATTTAGTTTATTAAAAATGAAAACTATTATTCAACATCTTAATTTAGGAACAGAGCAAGAGATTTTAACTGTATTTCACATGACTTGGTTGTTTACCTTAAAACGGTGGTGACTGTTTGGTTCTTCTGTTCAGACTAGTTGAAGATGTGAGTGAAGGATCCATGTTTTAGAATCAGCTTAATTGGAAAAACTTGTTAACACATACAAGGAATATGGCTCTGACTTGTGTAACTTCCCTGTGAGGAACAAAAAACATCATGTTTACTTCATATATTAAAAAAAAAAAAAATCTGGATGAACGTGGATGCAAACTGCAACTTTACTGTTTGGCGAAGGCATACAAAAATGAAGCAGTGACTTTGTTTTTCCCTGTTTCTTGGCCAGGTGTGGAGCCAGAGCCCTTTGAAATGGGGGAGCATCTCGTTGAAGCAAGTGGAAAACTTTTCCTCCTGGACAGCATGTTGACCTTCCTTCACAAAGGGTTGGCTCATCTACTGACTATGTGGCTCCACCTGGTGGCAGTTCAGGCTCAGTCTGACTCACTGCTACGACATCACTATAGTGGTTCAGTCAGTGTGACACCTAATGAACTAGATGCTGACCAAGTATACAGATAAAGCAATTCCCATCCATCCATTAACTGTACACCGCTTAATCCTCACTAGGGTCACAGGGGGAGCAATTCATTCTAGTAAAATTTTAAGTATTCTCCTTAAATAGAGTCTTACCTGATTTCTCTTCATATCTGTGGTTACAGCGGCCATCGGGTCTTGCTGTTCTCTCAGATGACGAGGATGTTGGATATTCTTCAGGACTACATGGAGTACAGAGGTGAATGAGGTTGAAAAGTGGTTGACTTGACCATGTGAGCTAAATTTAACCTGCATCTAATGTCTTTTTCACAACCTGCTTTATATCCCGTCCTTTAGAAACACTGAAGACATGCTATCAAATTTATATTATAACTTCACTGGCTACACTATTCTTTATTCTACCACCTTAATGGCAAAATAATAATATATATTTCATTCTTAGCGATAAATAAGTCCTGAATTCTGCTCAGGTTACAGCTACGAACGCCTGGATGGGTCCGTCCGTGGGGAGGAACGAAATCTAGCGGTGAAGAACTTCAGCAGCAAAGACATCTTTGTTTTTCTACTCAGCACTAAAGCAGGTGACTGAACCCCTGATGTGTACAAAAAGGCAAAGTTGTGTCCTTGAAAGATTTAACTGAACATTATCAGGTGTGGACGAGGTTCATAATGTGCTTTTTTAATGTATCAGAGGTGCAGAATATTTCATATTGTATAATTTGTCAACTAAGAAAATATTCTAAACTTGTTTCAGTCCGTTGTCCCACACATGACGTGACATCTTGATGCTTGCTTTTTTTGTTTTTAGTAATATAAATAGACATGGTTGGTAATCTTTATGGTAATTAAAGTCATTTATGATGCTGCAAGTGATAAATTGCATCTTTCAAACAACACTGTGGCAAGTTTGTAGATAACGCAGCAGTTGTGTTTTTTTTTAAAGTCCGCTGTAACTAAGCGACACTTGCAAGCCGTTCTGTATATCTGAGTCTCCGGCAGAGTTCATAGAATTAGCTGAGAGAGGAAAGGAGTCTGATCACACAGAGATAAGCGCTGCAGCAGAATGAAACACTGTTGTGAAAAAGCCCAGCAACTTGTCTTTTTTTTTTGCAGTGTGAGAAAGTAGGGAAAAAAAGTTTATTTCCTGTCACAGCTTATCACTCTCTGTAAGCTATTTAAATGCACCAGTCCACCTGTAGAAAATATCACAGAAAAGGTGCAAAAGTGAAGTGCGTTCAGCTATAGTGCTTTTGCTTTCTCTCTTTTTACAGGGGGAGTGGGCATGAACCTTACAGCTGCTGACACTGTCATCTTTGTGGACAGTGACTTCAACCCACAGAATGACCTGCAGGCTGCTGCACGCTGCCATCGGATTGGCCAGAACAGGTGACAGATTATTCCAAGCACTGCACTATGTTAATGACTTACCATTTTTTAGACCCTCCCGGTTAAAATCAAGGTTGTTACCTTGGTAACACATCAAAATGTTTTTTTTTTTTAATGTGCTGTAATATCATGTGCGAACATCATGACTGACTAGTTCCACCATGAAACAGCAGTGTCAAAAGCACAAAGTCAGACTTGCAGGATTTTATACGTAACAATCGCAAGAACCCAATTCTGTCAACTTGCAGGTTACTTTCTGTATTCTTCTTCTTTTTCAGAATCCAATTCCAGTTCAAACATGTTTGGCTAAATTACTCCAATATTACAACTTGCCATTCTGTGGCACACAAATACACAGATTTTGGATCCATGTTTGGTCTTCGTAGCCAAGATAAACTCCTAATCCAGGGATATCACCTGTATTGTAATTGTATTATAATCATATTGTGTATCACCTGTATAGAATTTGAAAGATTAGGTGTTAAATAGGCTCTAATGAAACATGCTCTTAAGATTATGAAAACTAAATCTGGCATTTTAAACTAAACTAAAACTCTGGATGTGTCTATCTGGGTTGCTTTTAAAAAAAAATAAATTCTGTCTCCCAAATCCCCCAATTTTAATAGAAGTGCAGTACGAAGCTTTAATTGTTGATTGACTGTGCCTTATTACAGGCCTGTGAAAGTGATCCGCCTCCTGGCAAGAGACACTGTGGAGGAGATAATGTACTCTCGTGCTGTATCCAAGTTGCAGCTCACCAATACTGTTATTGAGGAAGGACGCTTCTCTTTAATGGACCAGGCTCAGTCAGCTGCTGCAGGCCTGCAGGTCTGTGAACACGACACCATCATCAACAACATATTCTTCGAATTCTACTGTCCTTAGTTCCAGTGTGTGTGTGTCCACTTTAATTTCAAACCTCTCGAGTTGAGTTTTCACCTCTTGTACTCACCACTTGTGTTTCCTGTCCCACACAGCTGAGTGAGATCTTGAAGTTCGGGATCGATAAGCTCTTGTCGTCAGAGGAAAGCTCCATACAGGATGTGAAACTGGAGAAGATCCTTGGTCCGTCACGTGACAACGAGTGGGTGGATGATGAGCAGTACACCCCACTGATGGAAGAGGAGGAAGAAGAGGAGGAAGATGAATCTGATGTGCAAAGTATGTTTTATTACAGTCATCGCTTTACAACCAGTAACAGGTCAACATCTGTGACTTCAGTTTCATAACTTGGTTAGGATGCAAGTGGGAGTCGTACTATGAAGCAAGATTAGTGTGTTAGCGGGGTATGTTGAGCGTCAAGCCAGCGTTTCAGCGGGACTCTCTTTTTATCTGTTAGATCGCCATGGTAACTGATGCTGCACAGCTAACCTGCTCTGGAGAAGGTTCTGTTCAGAGTTTGTGATGTAAACCAGCTGTAAAAAGTGCCACTCTTTCACGAAATCATTTCTTGATGATTCTCTATGAGTGATACAGATTCTCAGCTGAAGGAGAACGTTGTGTCTGAAAAACTGTTGAGCTGCACGTTAGTAACACCACTGCACAAAATCGTGCACTTTCAGCAGGCAAACGACCTCAAGAATCTACTGCATTCAGGCGATGTTGCAGAAAACACATGAATGTGTTTTTATTTTTCATCCTAATTTGCTGCCATGTTTGTTTACCCCAGCTGGTGCTGCAGCTAATAGAACACAGATACAATATTCAGTCAGTAACAGAAATTTCGCTTTGATTTGGCGGAAAACTAAAATGATTTTCACTTACTCTTCATCACAGGACAGTGTCAGAACTAAACGCACTTCTTGAGTATCATGTTTATATGTATAAAGTGTGAAGCTTAAGAGCTTTAATGTTCAGCTTGCATATCAGAAATAAGCGACTGTCTTTAGAGTTCAGTTTTCTACCAGCATTCCTCTTTTGCATCATCTGCAGTAACAAAGCTTTTTGCCCTCACACATTTTTTAATAATAGCTCTCCATTATAGCAACCTGTTCTTCATTAAGTAGGTGGCACACAATTGCTCCATTTTGTCCAGAAGAACAGTCAAATGACGCATCAAATGCCCCCCTTTAGCCTGATGAAAAAAGCCTGGTTAATAAAAAAATAATTTAATAATCACATGACACTGATTATCTCTGATTGGGGTTTTGGATGTTGTAGAGCTCTTGTTATGTCAGACTTGCTACACCCCTCTGGTGTGATTTGTTGTTGTTAAACAGGTTGTTCCAGCAAACTTTAACCACACATGAAAACAAAGACACCACCAACAAAAGCAGATTTCATCTATTAGCTCATATTTGCCTCCTCAAGTATCAAAGAAAAGAGAGTGGATGTGTTAATGCAGACTTCGCCTACTGCTCAGTCTTGTCTGTCTGTCAGTCAGTGTAGCTTCATCTGCTTGTGATGATCGCCTATGCTCACCGTCATGTTGTCCCATCCTAGACCACATGTACTTCTTTGAGGGGAAGGACTACAGTAAGGACCCCAGTTCTGAAGATCAGAAGGGCTTCGATCGGTTGTTGGAGGAGCAGCTGGTCGAATTCCAGAAAACTGCAGGAGAGGGCCGAGCTCTTCGGCACAAAACTGGAGTACGATTCAGTCACTTTAACTTACAAATATGTTGGAGATAGGTTCACATTTGACAACACTTGAGGTATTTTTGTAAAAAAAGAGGAGATACAACCCAAATGAGGTTGATGAATATGTTATTAGCAGAGTGGGTTTGGTGCATTTTTAACATACACATTGTACATTCATCACTTTAATAGACAAAACCTTTGTCCCCATTGTCTTACAGTGTCTGGACATAAATGTAGCAAATGAAATTACCTTTTGTATAAATGATTATCTTTCAGTTTTTGTCACGAGATGTTTTTGCCACAAACGAGACTCATGGCATTCAGTCTGGTAAATAGTATTTATTCAGGGCATGATGTTTGCAGTAAAAACCACCTAATTAGGTCATGTGTTGACACTTGTGGTTTTGGTATGCATCCATTGTTGCCTCCTCTAGCTCTACAAAAATTGCATCTCAGTCAGCTTCAGGCAAGTAGGGATAAGTTTCATGCTAAAAAAAATAAATTCTGGATATGTCATTTTGATATGCAGAAATTAGGTTTTATGATTTAATCAATGACCAGAGAGAACAAAGAGGGAACAATGTGGCTGTTATTTTTCACAGGTTTCACTATCAGTGCCCCTTGGGATTCCAACGAGGAAGAGGAAACCTCTCACTGAGGCTGAGCTGGAGCTGAGGAGGCAGAGGAGGGAAGAGGCTGCAGCCAAGAGAGCCAAACTTCAGGAGGATATGAAGAAGAAGCAGCAGGAGCAGAAATACAAGAAAAAGTAAAGATTTATCAAATGATTTACTCTGGAGTCTTTTCCACAGACATTTACCTTTTTATTTGGTGTTTCATTTGGTGTGTTTGTCACCCAGGATGGCATGGTGGGAGTCCTGCGGCTACAGATCCCGGTGCCTGCAGCCTGTGGACAGTGAAGAGGAGGAGGAGGAGGAGCAGGAAGATGACAGCAGCATATGCTCCACGGACTCTGACAGCACCGATATCCGCTATGTTCTGGGGGACGTTACTCATCCTCACACTGCTCAGGGAGATGCTATCATCGTCCACTGTGTTGGTACGACCTCCATATCACTGAGCCGCTTTGTGTCACAGACTGATGAGACAGACTGCATGTTGTATTTATGGTAGTAATGTTGTCTGTGCAGATGACTCAGGCCGGTGGGGCAGGGGAGGCCTGTTTACAGCACTGGAGGTGAGATCTGATGAACCACGAAAGCAGTATGAGTTGGCTGGAAAGATGAAAGGTATAATTAATTACGATTACAAGGAAAATAAATCCTTATTCCATTAGACGCCCTCACCTGTGGGGTGTGGCTGAGAGCAATAAATTACAAAGTTGAAGTGTAAACATTACATTTCTTTCAGATTTGGACCTCGGAAACGTGCTGCTTTTCCCCATTGACGACAAACAGTCCAGACTTGGTGGCCAAGATCAAGTAGGTTCTGTAAAACCCCTAAACATGCAGCCCCCTTCTTCACTAAAAAAGACTAAAAGCTCAGGAGCGTTTTGTTTGTTGAACTCTTACAAGGAGTCAACCGATATGATTTTTTTCAGGGCCAATACAGACAACGTTTATGAGTACTCAAGGAGATGATAACCGAAAAATCCATCCATTATCTATACACTGCTTAATCCTCACTAGGGTCATGGGGGGGCTGGAGCCTATCCCAGCTGACTTAGGGCGAAGGCAGGGGACACCCTGGACAGGTCACCAGTCTATCACAGGGCCACACTTAGAGACAGACAACCAAGCACACTCACATTCACACCTACGGACAATTTAGAATCACCAGTTAACCTCAACATGTTTTTGGAAGCCGGAGAACCTGGAGAGAACCCACTGGGACGCGAACCAGCGACCTTCTTGCTGCGAGGCAACAATCCTAACCACCGAGACACCTTGCAACATAACCGAAAAATGACAATCTTAATGTTTCCATAAATTTCAACACAAAACTTTGCTGAAATGCATTTATTTAGTCGTGTTTTGCTATGTTTAATTCATAGAAAATGTTTCAACATTTATCCAACAAATCCAATGAAACCAGTCACATAGTGCTGCATCAGAGGCAAACTAAAACATTTTTAATAAATGTATTTAAGCGAAAATCGGTTAAAAAGAAAAAAAATGATGAAAATTGCTAAATATCAGTGTCGATGATGAGCCACACTGATAGCTGGTCAGTCTCTAGCATTGATGGTGAAAACATTATAGATGGCAGAAAAAGTTTTGAAAAATTCCACTTTGATGTTTTCTCTCTCATGTTACAAAGTAAAGAACCATCGTTACTTGCTGCTGCTGCTATTATTGGTATCTTGAAAAGGTTAGTTTGATTCAGAAATATGCCAATGACATGTAATGTATCGTGGCAGACATTCACTCTGCTCACATTTGTGGTAAATGTTAAGAGGTTAAACGAAGTTAGCTGGTGTAAATGCTTTTTCCTTTCAAGTCACACCTTTTTAACCCTATTCAGGACTTTTGGGGTCTTTTGAAAGTCCTGAATAGGGTTAATGCAAGTGTCTTCTCTGCTGTAGCAGTCATCAACGGTGTGGTGCACCTGCCAAACTTGTGGCCAAGCAGCAACCGATAAAACTGTGACAATGATTAGATAACACCTTAACCTGCTTCGAACTCCTTCCTGTCACCTCAGCTGGCCCTGATCGTGGCGCAGCAGCGAGACAAAGCCAACAACCTGTCTGGTATCTTTCTGACTGCTTTAGACGAAGGTCTGAAGAAGATTTATGCTGCAGCCAAAAGAAACAAGGGTACAGTCAAACTTTCAATATTCAAAAGTAAAATTCAGTCATGAGCCGAAGTAACACATGTTTATCTTTTAGGATGTGATGAAAGAAGGAAGGGTGGGGCAACTTGAAAGCCACATTTGATTAATCTGTTTTGTGTTATCTTTTTGGCACTGCTGCGTGTGTGTGCACAGACGAATTCTTGCGAACACAATTACTGAAGAACAGCACATGAGACAGGAATTTAAATTCCCTCTGGTGACTCTGCACAACAGATTAACCGACAAGAACACTTGGCACTAAAATGTTCAGCACTGTTTAATGTACTTGCTGGAAAGCTGCATGAATTTGCAGTAGTTAAAATAGTTGCCTCAACTTCCCACAATTACCTAAAAATGATCCACTGCAATATTGATGTTTAAAATGCTCATAGAAAACTCTCAGTTCCAGCCCATGTAGATAAAATAACTTGTTTTCAGTTTTCAATCTGACAAGTGGAAACTAGAGGCTTCTCTGTGCACAGCCGCCTAGCTAGCTTCTACCTTAGTCTGCATACTGTAGCGTCTATTGATGTGCAAATTTACAGCAAGTAAGGTGATTTGTTTGAATTTTAATTTTAATTTTGGCTCTACAAAATGCACTAAATTCAGTTGAAGATTATTTTCTAATGATTATTTTAAAGATGTTTAAATTTTCTTTATTTTGAGGCAAAGATTTGAACATTACCAGTGATGTAGTGGAAGTAATAACAGTGCTCTGTTTATTTAAATGTAGAGGTGCAGTAGAAATATTTTGTAGATCAATGAATAACCATGATCTCAGCGTTTATCTAAATAACATTGATTGGCCATAGCCCTAGCTGGAGCAGGTTGCAGTTAGCGATCCTGCTGTCCTTCGCTAACAGCTGACTGTCTGTTTTTGTCTTTTCCCCCGGAAGCAAGTGTTCATCTTCCTCGTATCGGTCACTCCACCAGAGGCTTCAACTGGTACGGCACAGAGAGGCTCATCAGGAAACACCTGGCTTCCAGAGGCATCGCCACTTTCATGTATCTTCTAAAGACCTCCAACAGTGAACAGCAGATGTTTTACCCTGTTAACATTGTCATGTGGTGTTTTTTTGATATGGTGGAAGTGAGTTTAGCAGTAAACAACATGGATAAGAATTTCCACCTTGAAACTGCAGTTTACTGACAAAAATCTCAAAAGCATAGATTCACACTTTCATAGTTTTGTATATTTCAAACCTGAAGATCCAATCCTGTCAACTTGTAGTGTGGGGCTTTTTGTCTCATTATTTCTGTTCAGTATCAGTTTCCAGTGTAAACATGTATGCAACTTGTCATTGTGTTGATGTAGAGTAGGTTTACAGTATAGGTGAGCTGGTGTGCTCGAGCTGCAGCGACTGACAGAGCTGTTGGTAAAGAGGCCAAGACTTTAAAGTTGTGGAGGCAACAGTGTAGAGTTACTTGTAAGCTATTTAAGGTAGGAAGGGAAAAAACAGCTTCTAAATATTTAACTTTGATGAGTTTTTGGTGCCTCAATCAACAACTGAAGGAGAATTTTTTAACACATGAACTCTAAACAGCACTGACATTTGTTGCAGTCATCTTCCCTTAACCTGACTGGCAGATACTACCACAGCAGAACTGTCAAGAAAACAGCTGCGCCTCAGACATCCACCTCTGCGACCTCCACGTCCTCCCCTGAAGCTCACCTGCAGAACAAGTTGACTGACGAAACAGAAGCAGAAAGCCCAGGACCCTCGACCTCGACACAGAGCCCTGCACAGCTCCCCAGTTTCATGAAGGGAGTGTGTGTGTTTTTCTACAACCTGGCTGCATCAGAGAGGAAGAGGCTGGCCCGATACCTTGTCACATATCCTTTCTGACAGTTTGGTTTGTGGGTTTGTGGGTGAGTTTGTGTGAAGAGAACCTGAATAGCTTAAGAACTGCAATCGGGAAATAATATCTTTTAGCGACGAGAAGAGTAGATTTCAGGCGGGAAGCAGGGGATGTGTCCTCCTTGAAAGTTTAGAAAACAAATTAATTTATCCTTGATGCGAAAAGGTGCCACATGCACATTTAGACAGTTCACTTACCCAAACAAAAGACAGGAAATATATGCCAATACATGTACTGAATCTGTACAGAATATCTGAAAGCCTTATGGCGTTATATTCCATTATATTTTAAATTGTCACAAAAAGTTGATGCAGAAAAGAAACAAACCAGAAAAAACACACCAAAACGCAGGAAGTGGGTGTTTGATGCTCAAGATTTTGAAATTAACTCTACAAACATCGGTTGCAGTAAGGTGTGAAAATAATGTCACGTCTCCTTAGCTAAAGTTCACTTATGATGGCGATGAAGAGGAGATCATGAGTCCAGAGGTCACGCACATAGTAGCGGAGGTGGAGCACGACATCCACACACAGGTGAGATTGATCTGACATTTATTTTCCCCTCACATTGATTTGTCAGGCGTAGGAGAGGTAATTTAGATCATGACAGATTGTTTGTAGGCTGCGAAAAGAGTTTCCAGCGCATTGACTGGTTCCTCTGAAGCAAAGCGATAACGCGGTAATCAGTGATAGAGGAAGTATTGACAGCTCTAATATCAGACTGTAGATGTGCTTTATTACAAGGGAAAATTCTGCACTGAAGATGTTACTGAAGTAAAGTATCATAAAATGTAGTCAAAGTATAAAACATAAACATACTCGACGCAGAAAAAAGACCCGACTTGATGGTTGTCGAACATTATATCGTTTGATTATTATCATGAATGCACTAATTTTCTGTCGTAGTAATTTGAAGTGAGATTCATTTTTCACTATTAACTGGAACTGGTGGTTATTTTCAGTATTGAATAGTCTGCTGTTTATTTTCTGCTTTGATCAATTAATTGTTTGGTTTGTAGAAATATGGAAAATAGCGGTAAATGCTGTCTCAAGTAATCCAAACGATTGTTAAAATAGTTGCTGACTTTCTGTCACCTCACTGATTAATCGACTAATGCTGTACTTTTATCAGCTGTTTGGTAGAATAAACAATAAAAAACATACTTTTTAAAAGTTCTTCTTATGTTTTTGTGTACAAATCTTAAATTGTAAAATAACTAAATGTGTCAGATGAAAGTAGTGAAGTCAAATATTTCCCTCCAAGTTGTAGTGAAGTAGAAAGTGGCATGCAAGTGCAGTACAAGTATCTTGAAATTAAAATTCACTCAGTTAAATGTGCTATGGTACATTCTATTACTTCTAGTAATATAACTTAATTTTGTGAACCAGGAGCTGCAGGATCTGGTGCGTCAGTACTCCCAGGCTGTTCCTGTGCAGACGGCCTGGCTGGAGTCCTGCTTCTCCAAACAGCAACAAGTCGACACGACGACGTTCCAACATCTGCTCAGATAACACTCTGGTTTAGTGCTTTGTTGTTGTTGTTGTTGTTTTTTCAAATGAAATGATTAAATCATGAAATGAATGAAACTGGTCTGCTGCTTAATGAATGCACTAAATACCAAATTATTTCCATGGATGGATTATGACACAATGGGCTGCTGTGCACAGATGTGTAAACAGCCCCCAACTCATCCCACAGAGGAGAGAAGCTCTGAAACTACAAACCTCACAGACACGTTTTGTGGTTGGTTTGTGTCGTCACGTGTGCACCTTCAGATGTTTTGCATCTTGTAGAGTTTCTTTGTGGTTATCTTTTGTCTTACTTTAGTCTTTAGGTGTCTCGTGTAATTCATTTGGTTTCTCTTTGTGGTCATTTAGCGTCTCTTTCAGATTGTTTTTTTGTTCCATTTTGGTAACTTTATGTGTCCTATTTGCCCTTATTCATCTCTCTGATTGTATTGCATCACATTTGGAGCATTTTGTGTCTAGATCTTGGTTGTTTTACATTTCTTTGTAGTTGTTTTGCTGCACAATGTAGTTGTTTGTGTCTCATTTTGGTCCTTCTGCATTATCAGTGTCGCTTTGTGTATTATTTTGATTGTTTGCAGCTCTTTTTTGTCTCATTTTTATGATCTTTAAGCTCAATTTGTGTCACATTCTGGTCCTTTTACAGCTCTTAATAGTTCTTTTGTTTATCATTTTAGTAATTTTACATTTCTTTATGGCTGTTTGGTGTCATGTAAGTTCTTATTGCATTACTTTGTTGGCATTTTGTTTCATTTTAGTCACTTTGCATCTCTTTATGTTTGTCACATATCAGTCCTTTTACATTTTGTGTTTCCTTGTGGTTGTTTTACATCTGTTTGATCCTATATTGTTTCATTTAGGTCCTTTTGCATCCCGTAGTAGTCGTTTTGTGTTGCAGTTTGCTTGTTTCTCTTTATCGCCACTTAGTCTCATTTAGTTCCTTTTGCATCTCTTAGTGGTCATTTTGTGTTTCATTTTGGGCCTTTTACATCTCTGTGTTGCCTTTTTTGTGTCTATGTGGCCATTTTTTGTCACTTTTCTGGTCATTTTATATCTCTATCTTTGTTTTGTGTCACATCTTGATCCTTTTACGTAACCAAATGGTCATTTTGTGTCTCAGTGTGGTTGTTTTGCATGTCTTTGTTGTCATTTATACCTCATTTTCTGAGGTATAATAATTCTGGGATACAATCAGGAGCCCCAGAGCCTGTGGCCGGTAGACCTGTTAAGAAAAATCTGTCCACAATCTTCACAAAAAAAGACTATTAAGGGTTTATTTATGAGTGAAATAAAGAGTAAATAAAGTGACATCTATCTCTGCTGCTGTGTTGGAGGTTGGTGTTGAAGCATGTGCGGGGTTACAGCTAATGTAACAGTAGACAGGATTATAGTAACAAATCCTGTGTGTGTAGGAAGTGTGGCGCGCGTGCACGCAGACGATGAAAGGTGGAGTTTGTTGGCGGGGCCGCGCATCTCAGCGGCGCATCAAAAACACAACCCGACTGAAGTCACTGCGTCAATATTTCACATCAGCGCCGTGGAGACGACGCCGAGGACAGCGAGTAATTTATATTTAATTTGATTAGGAGGCGTCAAGGCTGCTGAAGTTGAATTTTCGGCTCTATTTTCTGCGTCAACAAGGTGGAGGCTGAGTTACCTGAAGGAGGTTTGATAAGTTAGAGCAACGACGGTGAGTTAACTTAATGTTATCTCACTTTCCCATGTTACCTGGTCATGTACTTCGACTAGTATTATACTCTGCGTGAAGCTTATGTGAGTTTGACTGAACAAAAAACCCAGTTCACAAGTTTGGAGTCGTTAAAACCTCAATTTTTACGCACATTTTTGGCGCAATTAACCTTTAACTTCGAGTTAACGCACGAGCTGAGGTGAAACTGGCAACATGTCGCTTTAAAACACTGATAATAGTTTAAAACTTTAAAACACATGAATGTAAATGTGTGATAAAGTGTTAAAAAGTCAGACAGAAATTCAAAAGTACACGGAGAAACATGTGGGTCAAGTTGAGTGGAAAGTGCGAACAACAGGCGACCACAGCTTCTAATGAGTGTGATTTACAGGAACAGTCGGGGTGTATTGGAAGATAAAAGCCGCTAAAACGAGGTTACACAAGCTTAAGGTCATATTCAGTAGCTGTTTGGGGAAAGTATGTTATAGGAAAACGAATATTTGACCCTAAAAATGTGTTTAGAATTATTTATTTCTCATTAAATTCACCCAAAACGCATTAACAGTGTGTGTGACAGTTGTTGGCATGTATATGCTGTTATAAAATGTCATAAAAGTGAGAAAACAATATTTATCAAACATTCAGAAATCTAGAGATGATTTATATCTTCAGAAATGTCTGAGGTTTTACTCTTCCTGTCAGTTAGAGGCTTGGTTTCCTTATTCCCACATGTGCATCTCCTGAGTATTAAACCAACCTGACATTCAGAGAAAAGTCCCCTGTGTGGGAGACACTCCGTCATGTGCTACCGCACTTATGGGCAAACAGAAAGATACCTATTGAAGTGTTGGCTGACGCATGAAAAGAAATGCAAATATCGGATATTTGGCTTCCTCTGTGTTGTTTAGAGTGACACCCTGATCCTCAACAGATTCTCAGGTGCAGCTTAAACCGGACACACATGGATGTCAGGAGGAGGAGGCCCAGTGATGCTGCCCACCTCAGTCTACTCAGCACCAAATAGGTGACAAACACTGTTACACAATGCAACACAGTGCAACATGACATAGCGGATGTTGTCTTCACCAGTAGATTTCTGACTTTGATGGGAAAAGATGAAAGCTAAATGCGTGCATGCTACAAAGTGCAGCACTGAAGACTGATCTTCACCTGTTTTTTGTTATGTTTGACAAATGTGTTTTTCTGGCGTTCAGTCAGCTGAGCAGCCACCACAACACCCCTGAAGAGGACGATGAGACAATGAGCACCGAGCAGCAACAAGCCAGCATTGCCCACCATCCAGACTCCACCTCCCACCGTGACGCCCACCACCCTCCTCCAGACCACGCTTTGCTCCGCGATGGCTCCATGTTCAGCAGACAGCGGTCGGACCAACACATCCACACACTCCCCCAAAGCAGCTTCTGCTCATCCCAGCCCCATCACAGCCTGCCGGCCGGGTACATCCAGCCGACTCCGTTCCCGAGCCATGTCGAAGGCAGCTGGCTCCACCCGAGCTTCCCCAGCGGCTCGTCTGCGTATCCCAACAGCCTGCCATCCTGCCTGAGCCAGAAAGATTACTCCGGGTACTCCGCAGAGAGCTGCCTGTCCAGGTACAAGTTCCTTTCGCTGCCCAACAGCCACATGGCCAGCATGAGCAGCCTGGAGCAGCCGATGTCTCTGCGCTCCAACCCGCCGTCAGCTGAGCTCTGCCACCACACACTGTCTCCGTACTCGTGTTCGCCACAGGGAGCTGCCTGCTGCGCTCAGTGTCCCCCAGAGGCCTTCAACAGGGGGCCAGTGGTCAACAAGCGCCCCTGGCCTCAGTACCATCCTGCTTACCCCCCGTACTGTAAGTCTGCCCACCACAAAAATGACAACAGCAGCTCCATTCATCAGACTACAATATAGCAGAGTCGCACAGATTAATTAATTAGTTATCAGCTTATTTAATTCATGGTAAACTATTTTTGATTCTTGATCAAGAAAAAAAAGGGGCAAAATTCTCTGATTTCAGCTTCTTAAATGTGAATATTTTCTTCCACTATCACAGCACACTACAGTTTGAGTTGTAGACAAGACAACATTTTTTGGGAAATACTGATCAACATTTTCCACCATTTTATGACGTTTTATAGACCAAATAACTAACCAGTTAATCAAAACCAGAGTCGACAATGACAGTACTTGTCAGTTGCAGCCCAAGAAAGAGTTTTTTTTGTCTCTTTTGTCTGTTCTGCTTCAGATCCGGGTGACTGCAGACTTCCTGGAGCTGAATTCACACAGATGTGAGATTTTATTTTTTTTTAAATTACGTTTCTGCCTCACACTGATAAGACGTGTGTTTGTAATACTTTTTTTCTTTTCCTCACCTCTGAGCAGTGGCCACAACACTCCACCCAAAGAGAGGCATCCTCCTTACAGCACGCCGCTGTCTCTGGAGCAGCGTGAGTGTTGACCACCAGATCAGCAGATAGTTGTTGACTGAGCCGCAGTGCAAACACCTGTAAAGGTTTGTTTAATCCTCTTTAATGCAGGGAAGGTCTTTGTCACTTACGAAGCGGACAACGACAAACACGTCAAGGAGATCATCAACTTTGTTGCTCTGCTGCGACACAACGGCTTCGACACACATGTATGTACAGGGTTTTATTTATTTTTCAGGTTTTATCAGAAACTGTGGAGAGTAGAAACTCCAGAAAAGCTGAGAAAAAAAGAAGTTTTCAAAGCAGGCTAGAGTGTAGTTACTTTGTTTTGTTTAAAAAAAAAACAACCCCACTGTTATTAACCTAGAAGTGACTATAACGTATATAGTTAGAACTGATTTCAAGATTTTCATGATAACTTATATGTCTGGCTCTGGCCCCAAGCTGCATAGCAGAAAGTTCATGGGAAGCAGTTCATAACCTCCAAGCTTCAGCTGAGGCCCTTCTGGCTGTTCTGAAGTGAAGGATTAAATCTAAAGGAGTCATCAGCTTTATGACGACCTGCCTGAAGAGATGAGGCTCAAGACACTCTGTCTGCTTTTAAGTCACCTCCTAAAACCCACTTTATAGACTTGCCTTTATGCAATGTTGTCTTTTATTGTTGTTATTATTTTATGCATTAATATTGGCATACCACGTTTTGTATTTTTGCACATTTTGCGTCTTTATCTTAATTTTTCCTGCTTTGTTTGGCTTTAGCGCCTGACTTCCTGGTTTTATGTTGGCCTCGAGGTAGCCTGCTTTTGTTTTGTCTGTCAAGCTGATTTATAAACCCTTGTTTTTGAAAGTGCTATATACAAAAGATGTTGTTGTTAATAAAAATAATAAATAGAAATAATTTTACAGCTTGACACATTTAAATATATGATTTGAAAGTAAAAACACACAAATGTGAGTTCCACAAGGGTCAAAAAATACTCTGAGCTCAGCTTGTAACCTTTATTTTTAGCAGCCTTACTTCAGCTGTTTTTGTTCTCAGTGAATCCTTTTTTGTGTGGCTTTAACAAACTAAATTGTGATATTACATAATGTGGGGTAGTGAAGGCTACCTGTGGCTTTGTAAAGAATGCATTCAGCTCTCTTGCTTTAGTTGTGGTTTCTTGCTGTGTAACACGCTGTTTGCTTTGAAATTATCCATTTTTATGGCATAAAACGTATGTATGGCAAAAAAGGCAGATCTTCATTGTTACAAAAATGTGACTACATGTAGTAATTTCTTTTTTTTGGCTTTTAGGTGCAGTAGATCTCATTGTTGGGTGTCAGGGATGAAATAATCTGACAGATTGTGCCTCTGTTTGTTTCAGATTGACATATTTGAGCAGCAGTTCAGGAGCATAAGTAAGATTGACTTCATGGAGCGTTACCTCAGTGAGGTAAGATCGGTCAGAACTTTCTAAGAAATGGATACAAAAAAAGAACAAGATAAACCAATTAAAACTGGTTCAATGTAACCATCTAGCCAAGTTGTTGCATCACTTTCTGCAAGAGAGAGCATGTTTAACCAACAGTTTAATAACTGCACAAGAATGAAAATGGCTCCGAGACAACAGAGGTATCGGTGAACTGTCACAGTTATGTCAAATTCTTATCCAGAAAGAGTATCTGATCATCATCATCATCAGTCCGAAGTACTACGAGACGGTGACGGCCTCCCCTGTCGGCCTGGAGAATGACGAGAGGACCTTCAACACAGTTTACATTCATAAACAGGTCAGAGTCCGTCGCCTCCTCAGAGCAGCACTGACATATTCACTGTTAGTACTGTTGGGACTTAGATGTATGGGTGGTTTTCTTGTGTGCAGCTCCAGACTGAATTCATCCAGAATGGAAGCAAGAATTTCAGGTTCATTCCCATTTTGTTCCCCGGGGCCAAAAAGGTACGTTTCATACATGGTGACAGGAGGTATGTAATTACTCTTCAAAACCACAAGTCTCATAATCTGCCCGCTCTGTGTGTGTTTTGTTTTCAGTGTCATGTCCCGAACTGGCTTCAGAACACACATGTTTACGGATGGCCACGTGATCGGGACGACATTTTGCGGCGGCTCATGAGGGTGGAAAAGTATAACCCGCCTCCCATTGGAGAACTACCGACCATCGTTTCCATCCCCATATAGAAAACTGTGAGCGGAAGACTCAGACTGGACTGAAATCCAAAGCTTGCTTTCTGGAATGCTGTCGGTCATTGTTGAGGTGAACAGGGACGCATGTGTGGAAAACCAGTGGGGTCATATTTTATCTCATTTTTCTTGACATTTTATTAATAGCACTTGTGTCTACAAGTTGTTTTTTTTCACAATTGTAAGGCACAACCTTAGAAGTCGGTCCTTCAGTAGGATCAAACATTAACTTGTCGCCTCCCTGGTTGGTCTCTTTGCGCAAAATTGTAGGGCTGCCCATGACCAAAGACTTTCCTAGTTGACTAGTTGTTGCACATTTATGATCTTAACTTAATCATCTAAATATACATCAGAAAGTGATTATGGGTTCCATGGCTGAGTGACAATGTTACAAGTAAGCTAGCCCTGCTAACTCGAACACAAAACCACAGCTAATAATGAGGCTTAAAAATCTAAATATTACAAGTGTGCAGACGAAGGAAGCTGTAGCAACGCCGGCAAAAACAGTAACCATTCTGAATGTGTCAGAAAAACCAGCAAGAAGATTGAACAGTTTGTTATTGAACCGAATCGTACAGTAGCCATGGTCCAACAAAGCACTCGTCCTCGGTCAGTTTTCACAACAACTGTAGGAGCCGATCCTAATGCTGCCATCAGTCTGTTGCTGCCCACACTGGCCTTCTTTAAAACGAGACACTTGGCTGCGTCATCGTGGTTCGGTGGACCATCAAAACATCATAATGTATGCATATTCAGGCCTGACAACTGTTCTGGCAGGAACCCTGAGATTGCATGTAACCTTCTTTGGGTTGCTCTTTACCTTCTGAAGTTATTCCACACTTCAGATTTCCTGCCAACACATGTAATTAATTTTTAATATCTGAGACCAGCTGTGTAAACAACAACATCTGTCTGTGGGGTTAAAGTAGTTCTTTTTCTTCCTGCAACCATCTGACCAATCAAAACTCCCCTCACAGACTAACGTTGGGGATCTTTTTGGAGGGAGCCCAACAAAATCTTACTTTCTTTTCCTTCTTTTCATTGACAGTATTTAATGTCCACTTTTTTTCCCCCACACCTGCAAGGTGCAGCATTTAAAGTCGCTCCTTCACAGGGGTCTAATGTGAACTTTCGCTGGTTAGCCTCTTTGCAAGAAGTTGCACCTAAAGACACCCAACTAGCGACTCATCGTCAGATATTGAACTTCTTATTTTGCCAAAGTTGATCTAAACACATTGGAGTGTAAGTTGTTCTCCAGGAAAAACCATGAGCAAACATTAAAGGCCAGTTTATTGTTACTGCTTCCCTGTGTTGCCTCTGAAAGTGGACATAATACTGGTTCTATACATAGTTCAGCAGGCAGCTTTCAGTCTGCTGTGCTGGAGCTCCCATTGCCATTCTTATCAAACACAGAAAAACACATGGGGCTTCTGAAAGCTTGCGTCTTTTCGCTTTTCACAGGATATGACAGCTGCTTACAGATTTGTCTCTTGTCAACCTGCTTGTTCCTGAAGTGTGGCGAACACAGTGACCTGACATAGCTCGACATTCCTGGAGAATCTAGAACTTGCTGTGGTGCTTGAGCAGCGTTCATGGAAAGCATGTACAAATCAAAACACCTAAATCCCTGCAGCAACTACTTTAATTACAGGTCTTTTAATAATGTGAAATAACAGTGTGGGTGATGGTGGATGTGCTCGTACAGTTTGTTTTGAGCACCGTTTATTTTCCTGGCGCACTCACGGTGTGATGTGTCCGGAAATTTTGAGCTGGGTAGATGATGAAATTCACATCATGCAACATATGGACACATGGAAGCTTCTATATTATGTTATTAAATCTGGGGTTACAAAGGGTCATGGGACATGGGAGAAGTAAAAGAACAGCTTTAGGAAGCAGCGTTCACATTGAACAGTGAAGTACTGCTGCACCTCTGCAGCATGCTTCCTGAAGAAAGTGAGATGAACTGTGACCCCATTGGTTTCCCATATTAATGAGCACAATGTCTTCTTTTGTTGAAATGTGTGGCTGTGCAGAGATTGTAAGATGCTTGGTGAGCCGTTTCACTGGGATCAACCTTGTGAGTTTCTTTAAATTCAACATTTTTAAATTAACGTACAGAGAAGTGCCAGCATTGATGTTAGACAGAGGCAAAGCTTGTCACACTGATGTGCATTATGCCGTATGTTCACTGGTGCTACTCCTAGTTTACTCATTTTACAATCTGAAAAGTTGAGTTTTTTTTAAGAATGTAATTCAAAGCTAAATGATTGTACAATCTCAACACACATCCTCGTAAAAGAGATTTTTCATATTTTAGTGGGAGTCTTGTGCATACGTTATAGTTTAATATATAGTGGATGTGATGAATAGTCTGATGACTGTATAGTTGCAGAGTGGAACAGCAGAGCTTTTAATTGTGATATGTAAACATTGACAGATTTGGTACACAGTCTTATTACAGGTGCCTGCTCACTGCAAACAGCTGGCCAGCTGGATGCAGTTACTGTAATAACAGAAATGTACTGATTTAGTCTGATGTTTTATGTGGTTTTGCTGTCATGTGCATGTTGTTAAACGAGAATGCAACTTCAGGTTTGTGGCTGGTCAGGTTTACTCACCTCTTCAGGCAGCACTGGAATCACCTCTTTTGCTCTGATATTAAATTATGTCAAAAGTAAATTATTTTTTCAGCACCTTTCTCATAAGTTGCTCTTCAACATGACTTAATATTTTACTGAACATACCAGAGTGCAGGGAAAAAAACTAGCAAAAGTGTTGTTAAATATAATTATGACAGACAAAAGCTACAAACATGTTACAATCATGTTTAATTTTTTTACTGCACTGGAAAATTTCTCAGTGGATCTTTAATGCTAAATGTCAAAGTAATTAAACCTGCAGCACTGAATGCTGCGTTTGCTTGCGCCCTGAGCTTGTTGTCGTCGTCTTTGGAAAACACGAATGTTTGTGAAGCTTGGCCCAAACTTCATAGTTAACTGCAGACAAGCAGAGACCTGGAGTTATTTGCCTGCAGGGCCATGTGAGCATTTTTCTAATAGTGAGCTGCATTTTTTTGTTTGGGAGCAAGCCATGAGAGCAGAAAGTGTGCTTTACTATTAACTGCAGATGCACCAACATACTGACAGGTTTGACACTTTGAGCCGAGCTGCTCGTCTTGTATCGCTCAGGAGGAACGAAGCCTCAGAGCAGAGAAGCAGAATAGATTGTGTCTCTCCCCAGGTTATGCTGGTTTGTGTAGAAAGGCTGAAACAGGATGTTGTACCAAGATAACAAGCTGACACAGCTGCCTGCTTGGTTCGTGGTGGAGCTTCTTAAGAATCGGCAAATTTAAACTCAAATGGGTCATCGCCACCCGCTTGTGGTTAGACAGAAATCACGTGTAACTCAGTGACACACTTTAAGAAAACGTTTGCGTGTGCAGAATATGTTGTGTTCCTCATTCCCGATAAGGTAATAAATAAATCCTGCTCGACGTAACCGATACAGTCAAGATGCGGATTAATGCTTTTATCTTCACAATAGGAGGTAACACTGCAGATGTTCATACAGACATCATAAAAAAAATCTGAATACAGTGTTTCATATATTCATCCATATATTGAAAAGTACATGAAATAATATTAATTTTAATAACATAACAACAAAAGGACAATGACATCTGTAATAAAAGTGGATTACAAAGTGACATTTTATGTAAATAACTCTTAAGAATTAGGTAACAGAGACAAAAATCAGACAATAGTTCCATTTTACTGTATGTAAAAACACTGAAGTGCTATTTGTTCAAAGCTACAAAATACACTTAAAAAGCAGGAAGCGTTTTTTTTTTATTTCCTTCAAGGAAAAGTACTATAAAATAAGTTACAGTACAGTGAATTTGTCCAAACCGACTTTTTGTTCCCGTCTTCCAGCCTTTTGTAAGCACAAACAGAAGTAACTCATACAGGAGGAAAGAGATATCGTTTGAAAGTCATTTCCGCCCCCCCAAAAAGAAGATGAACAGCCGAGCTGTCTTCGATAGCCGTGTGTCTCGTGTGTGATCGTGTTTATAATGGTCGCACAAATGCTTCTGAACATGTGAAACCTTTGAGTCTTCATCGTCTGTGTGTCGGCTTGCCTGTGTCCTTAGTAGAAAGAACTTTGTACTTCATGAGCTCAGAAAATTTAACAAATACTTCATGTTTAGTCACATAATACGGAGGCAAGTCCTCATACATCGTCAGCCGGCAAAGGAGGTATGTTGAACCTTGGTCTTGTGAAAAAAGCCATCTTCTCTCTGCAGACAAAGAACACACAACTTATGATAACTCAGTCCTGCGTTGTTGTACAACATGAATCACCACAATCAATTCTGTGTCTCTAGGTTAACCGTTCAGTAATCTCTTTTATGTATATTAACTCTCTGAACCCCCCCTTTTTTTTTGTTCGCGTCACATTTTTACTCGCTGTGGGCTCATTTGTAACTGCATTATACAGTCCTGCCCCTCTTTGGAAGCAGCACAATCATAGCTACAGCGAAGCCAGGAATATCTACTGTGCAGTGTTTTACTAGCACAGGCGTTACCAAAACAACTACTTTTAATTTGTTTCTTTGCTTGTCTAGTGTCTGTTCTAGTCATCATCCTGCAGTTCAGACCGGTTTAGCCAACTCGTCTCTGAATTTTTGCCACATGACTGTTGGTTGTAGCTGCGTGAATCATACCTTCACATCTGTGCTCAGCAGCGCAGAATCTTTTAAGCTTTTTACAGAATTTAGCTAGAGCACATGGGGTATGTTTGGAGAATTCTCAGATGTGTAAAGTGATTTTGATGACACTGGCAGAATATCCCAGATGACTAGTTCAGGGGCCGTTGGAAAGTTGAACGTTTGATGATTCCTTCCATTTTTACAGTTTCTGGCTGTGATAAATGATGTAGTTGTGGCAATGGGGTTTTAGGGTTTACAGGTTCATGAGTCAAAATAATGTGGGGGAGGGAAATTAACTTAATTAAAGCTAAGCAAACCCAGCCCGTCATATACAGAATTGGCCAAATATTAAACCAGAATGGAGGCTGACAGGGTGCTGGTGTGTTCAGACAACTGGCTACAAGTCATCGTCAACAGGAGCAGACAAAATGAAGCTACAAGGTAACAGCAGTCCAATGATGTGGTGAAGCATCAACCACTCGCTTTTTATTCAGCGTTTCCATGGAAAAATGAAAGAAAACCACTTCTTGCTGTGAGTCACTTGTCAGAGCCGTAACAACATCAACAAGCACTTCAGCAGCAGCAGCTCGGCCACAGTGCAGCTCCGCACACTTCCCTGATTTGTAGATTTGTCACTCGTAATGTGAACATAATACAACGGCAGCTCTGAGGGAAGGTGTTGCATAATAGGCCGGTTGTTGCGTCAAACTTTTCCTGTGGAGAATTTGACCACTAGCGGCACGACAGACAACATTTATATACATAAAGCAATGTTTCACTGCAATGTTTGGCTGCAAGGTGGCGCAGGTGGTAGCACTGTTGCCTCACAGCAAGAAGGTTGCCGGTTTGTATCCCGGTGGGGGCACCGGAGTTTGCATGTTCTCTCGGAGTTCTCCGTCTTCCTCCCACAAGTCCAAAAACATGTTGAGGTTAATTGGTGATTCGAAATTGTCCATAGGTGTGAATGTGAGTGTGCTTGGTTGTCTGTCTCTAAGTGTGGCCCTGTGATAGACTGGCAACCTGTCCAGGGTGTCCCCTGCCTTCACCCTAAGTCAGCTGGGATAGGCTCCAGCCCCCCATGACCCTAGTGAGGATTACGCGGTGTATAGATAATGGATGGATAATGGATGTTTCACTGATCTACAGGTGAAAATAATGCACCAACCAACACCGAGATATGCTGTTGTTGCATGAACAACTGATTGCTATTTATGGGACTACATGTGCCTATGAAAGTTGATCACTAAGTTTAAAAACAAATACAACTGCTTTTATCCTGATCATTCTTTTTTTTTTTTTTTTTGGCAATCATCCTGATGTTTCTGTTATTTTACCTGCTCTGTTCCCAAGATCATAACCAATCCCTTTGTTTTTACCAGTTGAAATAGCTTTTATAAACTAATGCCACTCATCCTTGCAGTTTTCTCCTTTAGAAGTGATCACAGCTCCCACAGTTTGATTGAAATGTTAATAATGCATCAAATTGACTTGATTCATTCATGAGGATTATGATTATAACACTGAAGCCCATAGAATAATTGTAAAAGAAATAATGTCTTTGTTACACATTCAATTCTTCTGTAAATCATTGTTAATTACAGTCTAGATCCCAAATATTAACAAGGATGTTAGACAAACCACACCCATCCAGGCTAAACACTGGGATCAGAACTGTGTCATTGCCTCTACTGTAAATGTCATGATAAAAACCACTAAACAAGAAATGTTTACTAAGACACACCTTTGTTATCACCGTAGACACAAAGTTATGTGAATGTCTGCATCGTGCCTGTTTAACCCATATAAACACCGCGGGACACGTATATAAACTATGCAGCAAACCGCATGCCCCCACCAACAGCAATCACTTTTTGGCAGATGATCGCATTTTGGCACTTTCCCAGGAAAGTTAGGAAATAAGTCTGGTGCTAGGAAGCAATGCACAGCTGTATTATTAGAAAAGAAATGCACTAAACAGTTTTGTAAGACCTTAATGAGGCAATACGCTCTGTTGAGGAAAACTGGATGTAAACTTTGAAAACTTTCACACGTCATGTGTAATGCTGCGAGGTTAACTACTTCTAAATGTGCATCCAGCATTGGCTTTTTAACTTTGATTTATAGTTCTGTGTTGAATCACAGGTGCTGTAGCCTGACAAGCAGTTACCCAGAAATGTAATTTTGCATTGCAGTGATGCAAACAACTGTGTTTCATCTGTAATATGTCATGTTTGCGAAAACATAATGCTTCTTGACAATAAAAGTAACATATTACAAGTTGTAATTGTGCCGTGCTTACTAATAACGCCAGTGCTGTAGCCAGCATTGGCTCTATACCACTACAGCTCAACCAACTCGGGCAAATGTTTAATTGACTCCAACATCTTCTCTCTTTTTTCAAATGGAGTAATTTTGTTCGAAGTAGCTGTTGTTCAATATTGTTTAGCTCCAAAGAGTAGTTGTAATTAGTCTAGGCTGTTTCATTTTATTAGTAAGATTTGGTTGTTAGGTCTACGCTTACACGTCTCCTCTCACATGATGTCCTTCCAGCCAATTGTGCTTAGGCTATGATTTTGTTGTCAATGTTGGAACACTTATGGACCCCAAAGACTAACCTCCCACGAATCATAAAACTATGTCAGCATTTCTGTATGTATTTCATTAAACCTATAAACATGCCTAATACGCACACTTTAAACAAAGCTTGCATATACAAGTGTGTTTGTCAGGAAGTGGCTGACATTAACTTAGAAGTTTTCCTCTAACCTCCACCTCCTGATGTAAGAAGGCAGGTGAGGAAGGTGTGGGCGGAAAAAACTGAAGAATCTCTAAAATATGACACCTGCAAATCTGGTTGGCTTGGGAATGTTACATAACGAACATCGTATGCTTTCACTTCTTCTCTTTAATCAGCGCGATATTAATGTTCTCAGGAGAGTGAGACGATGAAAGCTGACCAGGAGTCAAGAGATTTCCAACCTGAATGTCTGCACAGGCAGAGGCTCCTTCTGGCTCTGTCCTCTCATCTGCAGAACCTCTTTGGAAGCCTTCCTCAGCCTCCTCTCTGCCGCCTCCTCCTGACGCTGCTCCTGCTTGCTTTGGCTGGCCTGCAAAACAGCATAAACAGTCAACCTGTGCTGCAGCTGGGCAAGGCTGGATCTGGTATGTACGGTGACTATAGCGCCAGTCCCACCTGTCTCTGGGCCTCTCTAAGCAGGCAGCG